CAGGCGGAAAAGTCCGGTAAAAAAAAAGTTTAGGGTGTTTAGGGTTTAAGGTTGTGCCGATATGGAGATGGATACTCTACTGGGCTATCCTAGGCCCTCGCCTCTCCACGGAGGTCCCAGAACGGGCCTGCGACCCATGCCAGCACTCACAGCCACATGCACCTTCAGCAGGGCTATGGAGTCCAGATGCCTTCGAGACTTCCAAATAAAAACGACGTCCTGTATTGCTTCTCAAGCAGGGGTTTGGGGGGGTTTCGCGGTTTCCGATGCATGTTCATTGCTTGTGGCGGAGGCCCGTCAGAAGAAGTGCGTGAAAGAAGCCTTGCAGGCTTTGTGCATCCCCCGCCTCATCTTCCCAAAGCTTAAAGCTCAAGAGCTTGGATCCTGAGGCGTTGGGTTTAGGGTTCAGGGTTTAGGGTTTTGCGCTGCTTGCTTTTGCTTTGCAAGGGCTTTCGAACATTCTACAAACATGGTTCGCAGGGTTCAGGTGCGGTATCAGGATGTATCGGGTTCAGTTCATGTCCGAAGCGGTATACCTCCAAGCTGAGAGGCAGAGCGATCCAAGTGGAACGCGGACAGGCCGTCAGCGTCTGGGACCTAAATTAAGTGCCGTGCTGCGTAGTGTAGTAGCCCGAAATGCCACGGTTGTGGGACTCTTGCTTTCTTTTGGGAGAATGCTGCAGGAATCCTGGTTTTCAATACAACTTAAGGTGGGGAGACTTGCTGCATTTGCTGGCCAGGTCCTCCTTTCCAGGCAGAAATGATGCGGCCGGGAGGCCAAGCTGCCCGCCGCTTCGCATCACATCGCTGTGGGAGCACTCGCACCAACTGGGCAGGATCTTGGAAGTTGGTAGACAGAATTTCCATCAGCAAGCTCTTCTTGTATGGTGACTTCTCCGCATGTAAGGATCTGAGGATGAAGCATTTCCAGAAATCGAACAGCATCACCAGTCTCGTAGCGCTTTGCCAGGACGACACCTCGAAACAAGGGTTAGACGGACTTACGTAGAGAACACAGAGCAAATCATCATAGATGCATTGCCTGCCAGACTTGATTCATGACTTGAGTTATATATAGCCCAAAACCTGGGAAGGGATGGGGCCTCTAACTTATCAGGCTGATTTGGTACATCCATCTCGCTTGGAACATCTTGAAACAGGTCGTAGAGAACCCTGGAGCTGTTGCTTCTTCGTAAGGAAGGATCAAGATGGGACGCGGCCGAACGCATTCTGAAAGATCCCGATTTGGGCTGTAATCTTTACGTCCGTTTGACCATAGTAGGGCGACCTTTTTGCAGTAGCTGGCAGCTGGCAGCAAAGCAATCTATTATCTTTCAAGTATTTCTATAGTGAAGATAGTTTCAAGCATAAAATTGTAATCGATTGTTACTGTCAACTTTGTTGTCATTCAACTCTATTCGTAAAGTCATTATCATACTCGGGCCTTAGAATGGACCGGATTGGTGGATGTACACTCTACATGGATGCTGTGACCAAGGATCTGAGGGTATATATTTCATTTTAGCATGTAGGCTTAACATACTTCTTTAGAGCATTCCATGACATTCCTGTCCAGGACCCTCGTGTTCACCATTGAAAGCAACATGGATGATAGACTGACCGCTGAACCTACCACTCATGTCATGCTGCCGGCAAGGATCCACTCGCAAACACCGAAAGCTCATGTTGGACGCGAAGCCTTTACACTTCAAAGAGTGAATAAGCTTCTTTCAGTCTCTTTGGCCGTAGGCCACGAAGGTATCGTGATGTTCAACGGCAGTTGCATAATGCATAGCAAGCTTTCTGAAACCATCGCATGCCTCGCGCAAGGGTTGCTGTGAACGGGCGGGCGCTATGGGTAACGGTGCGTCGGCTTCGAAGTACAAGGCGCAACATGCCGGGAAGCCAAGAGGCAATGCAGTGCAAGGTAAGTCTGCTTCCTACGGTGGGTGGAGGAAGATGCCTGGCACCACCTGGGATACACCAAACCCTATGAAACCATGGGGAATATCATCCTGGGTAGTGCAGGATGTCTTCCACCGTAGGAGTGTCCAAAGTCCAAGCATTGTGTATAGAGAAGTTCGGGTCCGCTGATAGTCATGCGATGAACACAACAAGTGTATACCATGGATGATATGGTGCCTGTGGCAATTATGGTAGCCTGTCATCCAACTGCTGTCTAGAATATTGATCCGAGATGGACGATTCCCATTTGTAGATGTTCAGCTCAATACCAGGAATGGGTGGGATGAAGTCTAGGCCGCAGCCTACAGTTCATGCTTGCGATGACAGCAAACTGGCGGGAAACACGTCTGGTTAAACCTGTTGCACCAACGGATGGTTCCCCAAATAATGGAGTGCCCCCGGTTCAACCCGGAAGGAGCCAGGATTTTTGCACCAACCCTGCGTCAGGAGCCCTTGCAGAAGACAGCGTCGGAGGCGATTGGGATTGGGAAAGTGATCACGGACTGCGAGCGGCACCATGGTGGAGATGTGCTCGCTCATGGGAAAATGAGTGTATGACTAGGTTTTGCCGCACCTAGCGGTTGTTGTGGCCTTGGCAAAACATGACAGTTCAAGACACTGCAAGGCTAATGACTGTATAACGTCCAGCACTCCATTCGCTTCGTGTCATGCACGAAGATGATCCTGAACTCCAAGCAACCATCAAGCTTTCGATGATGCCAAAGGCAGACAGGCACTTGCCTTGTGTGGAATGAGTCTCTTTCGTGAACGAGGGGCAGAAGCCGCTTCTGCCACCAACACCAACATGCGTTCATAGATAACTATAGTACCAATCTCAAGCGTAGAATATGTTCAGTTGACTGGTTTTGAAGCACTTCGTTGGTCAGCTATAGGCCAACCAACCAACAATGTTCGCCAAAGAGCCGCATGTCACCTGGTCTTGATCTCCGGGAGACACCTCCCACGTTTCGATGCTAGAGGCAAACATGTCACGCAGGATGTTTGAACCTGAGCGATCCTTAGCTGATCTCCTACATTCTTGGGACTCTTGGATTATGAGGCATGTAGTATACTTGACCCAGCATAAGTAACCCTCCTTGAAACAAACATAGAAGCTGAGGATGGCCCATTTATAGAGCAGAATCATCTTCCAGCGATCCATCCTCAGCTTCCATGTTGTTTCAGGGAGGGTAAACCTTGAGCAGGGCCTGTTCAACTGAATGTTTTGACATGCTTCACAGCCCACTTGCAGAGCAACAAAATCCTGCACAACAACGGAGCTTCGGTGGACCTTATACTAGGTGGTCCATTAGCATATATAAGTGGGTGATAACCCCACTTACAACCCACTTACGGAACTTATAACCCACTTATAAGATCTTCTAAGTGGATATTCGTGGGAAATGGGCCACCTAGTAGTTTCCACTGTCTGCGGTGAACTAGATGGCCCTGCGTAACTGAGAAGCCTTCGGTGCAGGATTTTGTCCATCAGCACTGTCATATGTGGGATGTCATGGTTGGATGGCATGCATAGGCATTAATTATACAGGCCGGCAACAGATAGCATGATGCTGGTTACCTTGGCAGTCTTGGTGCAATGTGATTTGCCCCAAACACGACCGACAGGATGGGAACACATCTATGCTGGCAGAGGAGGCTAAAGCTCATGGCAGATCCATGTGATGCTTGAACACACTTTTATGGTTTGGCAGACAATAGACCTTGAGTCTTCTGTCATGGAGAAATTGCGTAACAAAGGTTTTTGTTTTGGCACATGCAGAAGACATGAGTTGCCCAAATCTAATTTCATCTCTCTTCAACATGGAATGTAGGAGAAAGGCCGCCTTTTCCACATTTCTGGGGGTTTGCTGTGGGCTTCCACTGCTTCACTCTCATTGCAGGTGCTCGACGCGAAGAGCTTTAACGAACGTGGATGGCAAAGACTAGTTGGCGATGAAATAGAAGGTGCCATTGAAGATTTTGACAAGGCCATCGAGTTGGACCCAAGTTACGCAGCTGCATACAACAATCGTGGCATTGTCCGAGAGTTGGCTGGACGCGATGACTTTTCCTTGGACTATGATGAGGCTGACCGCTTGACGTCGGAAACACCAGAAGTGCAAGAAAAGCTTCGAAAGGCTCGAAAGTGGAAACAGATCGGCTGGAAAGGTCGTGGGGAAGTGGAAGCTATGCAGAAAGCTCAGGATGCCGACTTTTTGACCACGGGCGACAGGTCGCGCAATGATGAACTCCTTCGAATCTTGAAGAACGAGAAGGTCCTGTTTCGTGGAGAGCTGCGCTCCGTGACTTTTTGCACCGACAAATCCTTGTCTATAGCGCATAGGGTGGTTTGCTCTCAGACAGCCTCATTGAGGAAAGACGGTGAGTTCCCAGCTTGGTTCAAGGAGTACATGGAAGCAGCTCTGAGGACGCGGCATGGAGTATTGATCTTGAATATGACAGAAGGATACCTCAAGTCAAAGGCTTGCAGGTGGGAGTTTGGTTACATCCGTCGCCCTGAATTGGTGAACGTCTTGATTCCAGGTGATCCGTGCAAGATTGTGCCTTGGGAAGAGCTGGCCCAAAATGCAGAACTTTGCCAAGAAGTTTTCAACTCCAAGAGATTTTCGGAGGCTATGATGTCGCAAGACCTGAAGCAAGAGAAGGCCAAGACCTTGGAGCAGATGAGTAAGCTTGCAAAACTTGCCAATGAGCAGGAGTTTCAGGCCTGGTGTGAGCTGCCTCTTCGGCAGGTGGCCTATGCATTTTCCATGCGTCACTTCGAGGAGGAGAAGGAGGAGGAGAGCGAGAAGATCAGCGAGAGCAGCTTTCAATTGGCTCGGGTTTGCCTGGAGACTGGATTCGCAGCGAGGGCCAAGGAGTTGTTGGAGAAGCTTTTGGGATCCCATCAAACGGGAAACCTGGGCCTAGACAACCCTGGTTTGGCGAATCTGTTGAGGTATCTTGCAAATGCGCACGGTGCCTTAGGTGATGATAGGCAAAAGAAGGAGATGCTGGAGCGTGCGTTGAAGCTTCTGGAACAACACTGTGGCTCGGTCGACCCAGAGGTGGCCATTACGTTGGTGAATCTTGGAAGCGCCCACGAATCCTTGGGCGATTACAAGATGGCCAAGGAGATGCTGGGGCGGGCTTTGAAGATTGAGGAGCACCACTATGGCTTGGACCATCCAGTTGTGGCGAAAACCTTGGTGAATCTTGGAAATATCCATGGTGACCTCGGCGATCAAAGGCAGAAGAAGGAGATGCTGGAGCGTGCTTTGAAGATTCTGGAACAAAGCTATGGCTCGGACCATCCAGAGGTGGCTATTACGCTGACAAATCTTGGAAATGCCAATGGATGCTTGGGCGATCACAGAAGGGCCAAGGAGATGCTGGAGAGGGCCTTGAAGATTAAAGAACAACACTATGGCTCGGACCATCCGGAGGTGGCGATTGTTTTGGTGAATCTTGGAGCTCCCTACGGACAATTGGGCGCTCACAGCCAGACGAAGGAGATACTGGAGCGTGCTTTGAAGATTTTGGAACAACACTATGGCTCGGACCATCCAGATGTGGCCAAGACGTTGACCAATCTTGGAAGTGCTCACCTCAAGTTGGGCGATCACACCAGGGGCAAGCAGATGCTGGAGAGGGCCTTGAAGTTTCAGGAGCGTTACTATGGCTCGGACCATCCAGAGGTGGCCGATACGTTGGACAAACTTGTAGCTGCACGACTTTTGCTGGACGATTTGGACGCGGCCAAGGAGATGCTGGAGCGCTCCGTGAAGATCGAAATGGAGTTTCTTTCGGCACTTATCGCCTCGCCAGGACCTTGGTTTGTGTGTCCGAGTGTTTTGTAAACGCTGTCGTGTTTTGTGAAGAAACTGTAGCAGCATGTTTGTGCATGTGCTGTTAGGAAGCGTCTGAAGTCAGAAGGAACTGACTGTTTTGCAGTTTGCTAGTGCTTTGACTTGGTAGGATGTCTGCGTGAGTTGCAGCCAGTTGCCTTGTACTCACTTCGTGCTTGCCGCCCTCCGTTCGTAGTCGGACTGAGTGATAATGAGCTTGGAAGATTGCTTAGAAGACGTTTGAGAGTGCCTCTGTGTCGCAAGGGAGCTTAGGAAGCTGAACTCATTGTTAGGAGGATCCATGCTTGTCAGTGCATGCTTTTGCTGAGTTCTCTACTGTTGAACAGTGTTGAAGAATGGAATTTGATAGTCGAGGCTTGCAACAGCTTTGCAGTGAAGATACCAAACCGTACTCCGGCTTTGGCTCAAGGAAAAAGACCGCTGCGCTGGTGCTCTGCATTTTCACATGGTAGCGGAGCATTTGCTCCGGGCCTGTAGGAAGCAACACGTTAGCAAGCCATGGCTTCACAGCCAGGGCAACCACCTGAGCCTGTTCCTCAGCCTCAAGTAAGTCCGCAGCAAAGTACCTCTTGGGACTCGAGCTGCTGGAAGATGGTGGTGCGAACCCTTTTGCACAGTTGCCTCAAGGGCAGCCTTTTGTTTTGGGGCCTCAAGCACAAGCTTCGGGAGCGCCATCGGCTGCCGCGTCCGCTGGACCGTCGACGTTGACCATGGACACTGGGTTTCAGAACATGATGGTCGAAATGCTTCGCCAACAAGCACAGTTGATGGCCCAGAACCAGCAACTTGTTGCCACGATGTTGCGGAAGATGGACCTGGAAGAAGAGCGTCGAGAACGAGCCGAACAAGCTGCCGCGGCGGCTGCAGAAGAGGCAAAAAGGGCGGCTGTGGCTGCTTCTGCAGGGTCTGTGGATCCCTTTAGTTCTTCGCCGGCTGTTGGAAGCGCCTCATCCAGCTACGGATGCCACGCAAAGCACGAGTCGTGAAGGAAGCAACCGTGCCGAAAAATACCATCCTCCACTACCGACTATTGCTCATCAGGATACGGGTCCAGATGCCTATTGATGTTCATGGGCTTCCTGAGATGGCCGCATGGCGTATGCAGCTTGAGACACCCTTCTCTCACATAGACGGCCTCCATTCTACTGGCAATGCTGTAGTTCCTGTGGATGACCCTGACAGCCTCGTAACCAACGGCACTCATGCCCTGTCTGTTTGAACAGGATCTAAGCAGTTCAGCTCCTCTGTCCCACTTTGCTAACGACAGCATCAAGTAGTAAAACAGCTTGGCCGAACGGTCCGCGGTGTCCCGAGGCAAGTTGCACTGCTGGATTTCATCAGAAACAGCTAAACAAAGACGAAGTTCTCGAACGTAGGTCTTGTTTTGCAGTGCCAACCACGAGCTCAACGTCTCCAGGAACTGGTGCCGCGTCTCTATCTCCTTCGAGCATTGTGGGAAGAGAGGACATCGCAGGCAGCTTAAGAAGGAGCGGAAGGCATTCGATGGCAAAGACGGAAAAGGAGATGGCAAAGGTGGGAAAAGCGGAAAAGACCGAAAGGGCAAGCCCTCCGGCAAGAAAGGGGACGGCAAGAACCCCGATGCTAAGGGCGCTGGAAAGGGTGGAAAGCCTGAGAAGAAAGATAACAGGAAGGAAAAGAAGAAGGGCAACGGTGGAAAAACGAGAGCTATGACTGGCGAGCCTGAGTCTGAGGCTAGCTCAGCCACCTCAGCAAAAGGTTCCGTGATGGGACTCTTTCTAGGCATGGGGTCATGGTTTGGAGGCCAAGATCGAGCTTTGAGTCCTCTGAAGGACCGCGTTGGCACTAAGAACCCTGAGCGCCCTGAGGCGCCGACATCGCAGCAGGATAGTAGAGTCAGTAGAGTTTATCCTTTGAAAGGTTCCGTAGGGACGTTGGCTGTGAGAAGCTCGAGGGTTGAAGTAGAGAGGCTCTGTACGCAGGAGAGCGTGGATCTCACAGATATGTGGCTCGTCGACTCTGGTGCGACGTGTCATGTGGTATCCCAAGAATTCTTAAGCTCCTTTAGAGTCCTCAACGAGCACTCTCAGAAACCGATGTTGTACAACGCGTCTAGCGTCGAAATCTTTGTTCATGGACTAGTCGATGTGGAGGTTCAGTTTGGAAGCCTCAATCTAACTTTGGAGCAAGTCGTCGTCGCGGATGTCGCTTTCAATGCCATTAGCCCGTACTCTGCGGCGATGCGGGGGTGGAGGTGTCATCTCTTCCGAACGGGGTCTAGGATTTTCAGGGGGAAGAAATCGGTGCGTCTGCATGCAGAAAACCGGGCTTGGTGGGCGATTTCGGGTCAACATCGGAAAGCCCAGAAGCCGAAGAAGGCGGCGGACGACATGAGTCCCGACCTTAGAGCACGAAAAAGCCCCGGGAGCCCTAGAAACTGAGAAGAAGAAGAAGAAGAAGAGCACGGTCTTTAAGCTCGACATCAGCGACACACCCTTTGCGTATTTGACTCGCGGAATGAACCACTTTGAGAAAACCACTGGTAGTGTGAAACCGTTTTATGGTAGCCCAGAGCCTTTGGACCAACCCGAACAATCCGAAAGAACTACGAAGCCCAAGAAAGGCTGCGGAGAGATCCCCAAACAGAACCTGAAGCCTGAGCATGGTAGGAAGTCATGGTGTGCATGCTGAGGAAACTTGTGCTTGGTAGAAAAAGTGCATTGGTTAGGAAGTCTTTTCGTGTGCATGTTTGGAAAAAGTGTGCATGGTAGGAGACTTGATTTTCTGCATTTTGGGAACGATCTTCGTGAGCTTGATTTTCTTGGGCATCCTTGCGGGTAGCTGGCTCATGTCTTTGTGCTTGGTGTGTGTGTGCATGTTGGGATTGAGCATGTTGCGCATGGTAGGAGTTGGAGAGAGACTGCTATGGGATAGTTCGGGCTGTTTAGGTGTCAAGGCGCATGGGCGCCGAAATGAAAGGAAGCCAAGGCCAAAGAAGGGAGGACCGAGTTTTCTCTATCTGAGCCTTAGTGTCGTGTTCGTGGTAGGAGCGAATGGCGGACCAGGAGGAGCAGTATCAGGAGGAGCAGTGGGGCCCTTGGGCCGCGGCGCCTGGAGATGTTCTGGGCGCAACAGCCGTGGCGGAAGTGCTTATGGAGGCTACAGTTGGGCCAGTGGAGGCGGCAGAAGCTTTGAGTTATGCTGTGCCGAAGGCCCCGTGGATTCGATACATCTGTGGCAGGGGCCCGATTGGCTTCTTTGGCTCCACTCCATGCCCCCAGTTCCATCTACTCCTTTTCGCTTTGTGGAGGACCTAAGGGCTGCCACCGAGACTGCCAAGCAGCAGTCAAGGGCTGTAGCCGCTCAGGCGGTGGAGGCTCGCAAGTCTCGAAGGATTACTGTCCCATCTTGGGACGAGGAGAGTCGGAACTGCAGCGTTTACCGATGGAGCCCTTGGAGTTCCGCTCCAACTTTACCATGCGGTGGCCGCCTCCTGGAGCATTTCAATGGATTGGTGCCTATGCCGCAGGGAAGAAGAAGAACCCGAACCCCCTGTAGGGGGGTCCCTGGAGAGCCAGTTTTTCTTGGATCTTTCAGCGGCTTCGACGAAGAAGTTCCCGGCTCGGCGGTGTCGATTACGGCTGGTATTTTTCCTGCCCCTTTGACTTCCGAAGCGGCCACCCTGACCGAGGACATCGAGAAGAAGCAGGACGACCTCAAGGATCTCTTCGATCTTGCCGTTGTTCTTACAGAACTTGGGATTTCTTTGGGTCAAGTGATGGCTGAGCTGCGCGGGGAAAGAAGCCATATGGCTTTTGCCGACTTGGTACAAATGAGACTCTTCGTCAAGGCGCTGTCCGAATGGGACAAAATGACTCCCGAGCAACAAGATCGTATCCGCGAAGAGGCGCTCTCAAGCTGGGAGCCTTGCGAATGGCCCTGGAGGCTCGATCTCCGCCGCGAATCCTAGGACTGGTACTGGGCATGATGCGCCACTGTACGAAGTCGAGGACTGGTGCTGGCGAGCGTATTGTCAATTACGGGGAGAAAATCAAGGCCTTCATGGTGCAAGCCATTCATGGAACGATGAAGCCAGCTCTTCCGATCCGATAGAGCCCGAAGCAACCGCCCAGAGCGGAGAAGAGTCAAGCCTTTTGAGGCGAGCGGGCCGTGGATTTGTTGGCATCGTGCCACCGAGTTTGGTTGGTCCGGAGACTACAGGGCTGGATGCTACAGAGGCAGCACCTCGTGGAATTATGCCTGCTCCGGCTCCTATTCCAAAGGCGCCTTCTGTCCCTCGGAGGCAAGATGTTGGGCGTTTACAGGCGGCAGAGCCGCCGTTCCCGCCGCCACCGGCACCTGGAAGGAGTCGCTTCATGTACTACGACGCCTTGGAAAAACAATTGACCATCAGCTGCCAAAGCTTTTACAGTGGCACCCGTCCTCGAGACCTTCTCGGCCTACAAGCGTTCCTTCCTCTTCATCGCGGGACGTGAGGGTTCCAGCGACTTGTGAGCTTTTCTTCAAGCTGCTTTCTCTGTATTTTAAGGGGGTTGGTCCTTATGGCGTTGAAGGCTTTGAAGTGGTTATGGTTCTCTTGGAAGTATATGGCGGATATGGCGGCCTATTCTTTGGTTGCTGTGGTGCTTTCAGGGTCCGTAGCCCCCTTCGCCCTTGCTGTACTCTTAGTGCTGAGGAAAAGGCTGAATGGGCCTGAAATTCGTCGCCGCGCAAGAAGAAAGAGAATGGCGAGAGCAGTGCATGTGCGCATTCGGCATTGGAACAGATGGGTCAGAGACGAACCGCTTGAGTGGAAGCGAACTGGCTTTGTGCATGTCATGGTAGGCTGTGTGCATCGTAGGGTATTTAGGAAACTTGGCTTGCCCTGTGTGCATGGCAGGACATGTGCATGGTAGGGTAGGAAGCTTGCTTGGTGCGCAAGTTGTGGGCATGATGGTTGCAGGTTTGCCTGTTGTGGTAGAGATTGACCCTCAACAAAGCCCAGAACCTCAAGATGCTGTGCTTGGTCCCGATGATGAGAAACTGGAGGAGGCACCGAGAAAGAATGAGGTGGGCCCTGCGGGAGGTCCACCAGAAGAAAGTGTGTCCTTATCCTCCAAAGCTCTGAGGGACCACCAGGCGCAAGGACACCAACCTTAATTAGCTAACTGTGACTCATGTGTCTGTGCTCGTGGACGCGTGCCTGTGCGCCGATTGAAAAACCCACAGCGTATGTCTAGCGTATTGGGCATGGACTATTTCTTCTTTGGAAAACTTCGAGTCTTGTTACTTGTACATGAGATGTGTCGATACTTGATGGCGATTCCGATTCAGGATGAAGCAAGGGACGATCCCCATCTTCTGAAGCCGATAGGGAAGTTTATTAAAGAAGTCGGTCTTCAAAACCGTGCTGTTACGCTAAGGTGTGACAATGAGAACTTGTTGCTTGCGTTTGCAAACCACATGTCTGGAAAGCGGAAGCATCTTGGCGTTGAAAGGGTCATGGTGGACCCCGTACCTTGTTATCGGCCTCAGGCTAAGGGTGGAGTTGAGCGACAAGTCGCGGTGGTGAAGCAGGCTTTCTGGGCCAATTGGCTGAACTTACAGTCAGAGATTTCACGTAATGGACACGAAGAAGAACCGTTGAAGATACCCTTAGGACGGCTCTTGTGGCGCATGTGCTTGTTTTATGTGTCGCGAACTATCAACTTGCTTATGTCTTCCCCTGGGGATGCGGCAGCGCCCATTGACCTAGTGCACGATGAGATCTGTGGTCTCCGTTCGGCTGCCGTTGTGTCTGTCAGATTGCTGGTCGCCGTATGAAACAGAAGTATCGAGGGCGCAAATTGTTGCGCTGCATGTACTTGGGACCTAGTCAGGCCCGAGGGGGTGATGTCTATGCCATTGCACTTGGGGGAAGAGCTGTTGAGTTGTTTCCTGCTTGTCGGGGAATCATCGGAAATGATAGTTATGTCTTTCCTAAAGAAGAGTTAACGGGGATTGCTGGGGAGGACCGCCGTGTCCTGGACGTAGAAGACCCCGAAAGGCCCATCAACGTTGCTCCTGAAACGCCTCATGCACCAAAAGGGCGAGTGTCTATAGAAGAAGATCCCTTTGCAGACGAGGAGGAAGAGCTGATTCCAGATGTTCCCCTGGAGTGCCACCAGGTAGAAAGCCAGAGTTGGGATATGATCCAAAGCATGGTTTCTCAGGACCTCCGTCTGAGGAAGAATATGAGCCATCGCCCTGTGGCGAGCCTGGAGAGGAAATGGACGTTGATGGAGACACTTTTATGGAAGACATAGAGGCGGTCATGGTAGACTGGTTAAATCACGAATCGCTCCTGAACGTTTTCAAGGGACCAGATCTTCGCTACCTCCGCTCTGCAGGCACTTCGAAAACACGATCTTTTGAGGTTCCGTTTTGCGCGGCGAAGATTGGGTGTTTTGTGCCTGATAACGCTGTTTCTGAGACACGTGGTGAGCGTTTGGACCCGCAGTTGCTGGAAAAAGCCATGAGGCTGGAGCTTGAAGAGCTTGAGAGCTTCAAGGTGGGTACTGTGGTGGCTGAAGAGCAAGCTACGAAGGTGGCCAGATCTAATGGTCGACGGATACTGACGTCACGATGGGTCAACACCATCAAGAAACCAGGCCTTTATAGGGCCAGGCTTGTGGTGAGGGACTTTGCATCTTTCGGTGCCAGTACACTCCAAGCGCGTATATACTCACCGACAACCACTTTAGAGGGGCTTCGCTTGTTGTTGGCGCTGGTGTCTGAATCGGGTACTCCTGTCTCTGGGGACTTTTCGGTGGCCTTCATGCACGTTGACTGCGCCCGGGTGGAAGTGATTCAGATGCCCAGCAACGTTTAAAGGTGGTGTGGTGTTTGTGCAGTTGAAGAAAGCTGTCAACGGGTTTCGCTCTGCGACTTTGTCATGGTACCGGGAGATAAGCTCTTGTCTTGAAAGCATTGGCTTTGAACAGGTCATTGATCCCACGATTTATCGACGTTTCACGGAGGACTCTAAAGGTAATGCCCGTTTGAGCATCGTCTTGTTCTATGTGGACGACATCCTGGTTTGGAGCCAGATCTCAGGAGAAGCGACGGCTATCTTTGGCCTGCTTTCTAGAAGGTATAAGCTCAAACAAACTGGAGTCATTGAGGAACACAAGCCTGGAGAGGCATCTTTAGGATTGAAGCCTGCAAAGGGTCTAACGTGATTTTCTTTGGTCTTGATCCGCATTGTTCGGAAGGATGTTGCGAAGAATTTCAAATCAAGAAAGGGACGACGAAGCTGACGTCTGTTGAAAGACTTGTCCGAGAGTTTGAGAAGAAAGGTCCGTCAGAGCGGCTTTCTACTGAGGCGGTCATGGGCGGGCGCTTGGAAAGTTAGCCTGGGCCTCCTTGACTCGTCCCGACGTGGCGTTCGTTAAAGGATTCCTAGGAAGATTCCAGGCTGCTCCGACTGAAGCCTCTGAGCACGCGATGCGTGCTACGTTGCGGTGGTTGTTAAGTTTGCCTCCTATGGTTCACCCTTTCCGAAGGAAAGGTGTCTTTGAAGAACGAGTGTGACCCGAGAGAGATAACACTCTTTGTGGATGCCTCTTGGTGTCTCTTGACAGTACCTCCGGAGGGATAGTGAGTTGGATGCACTGCTATTTGAAAGCCTATAGTAGGAAGCAACCGACGACTGCCTTAAGCTCAGCGGAAGCCGAGTTGGTTTCCCTTACCGAAGGGGCAAAGGAGTCTATCTATATAGGTCTTCTGGTTGAACAGCTTCTGGAAGGAGTCCAAGGTGAGACAGGGACTTATCCTATAGAAGCGCTGTGTGATAGCCAGGCGGCGATTTGTATCTCGAACATGAATTCTCTGCTCCGGAAAGTGCGACATCTAGAACTCCGAGCCCAATACATCCAAGAACAGGTGTCAAGAGGAAGACTTAAGCCCTCTTTCCTGCCTGGGAAAGATAACCCGGCAGATGGACTGACGAAAGTCCTACTGAGGAGATGTTGTGGTCTATGTATGAGGCGACAGGTCTCGTGCAGTGGCCTGAGCTGTCTTGGGAGGACACGCGGCCTGCAGACATTGGAACAGAAGAAGTCTTTGAGGTTGAAGCTTTTGACTTGTCTAGGATTAGGATCCCTGATGAATGGGTTGAAAATGCCAAGAAAGTCGCCAACAAAAAGGTAGATCTGGTAGTCCTGGAATTGTTCTGCCAAAATAACAGCGCCATTAGTGTTGCTTGTGAGAAGGCCCACCGCCTAGCGTGCTTTGGAGTCACAAAGAGTGTTAATTTCCTTAGCTGTAACTGCATAGGGTCTCTGCTTGAGCTGCTTAAAGTCCTTGGGGAAAAATCCGCAGTGCAAGTTTGGTGCCATATCTCCACTCCTTGCACTGCTGGTTGTGGTTCAGGGAAGCTTTTCTTTCTAAATGGAGAGAACAGATTGCCCAACACATCAAAGCTTGGCTCGAAGCTCTTTGCAGCGCACTGTGACAATCCCAGGCTTCTCTTAACCCAGGAGTGGCCAGAAAGAACGGACCTCTGGTATGAAGAAAGCTATCGTCGAGCTGCACGGCAAGTAAAGCTGACGAGGAGCGGGTGCCGGGTAGAGCGCTGCTGCTTTGGTGGTGTGCTAAAGACTTGGTACTTTGCGTCGAACCAGCCTAAGTATGTCCAAAGTTTGCAAAAGTATGGGAAGTGCTCGGGAGACCACGAACACCGTAAGATCGATGTGAACGATTCCGGGTTTATCCTGTGGAGCTTGGAAAAACCCTGCTGGGACTTGCAAGAGGTGCTCTGAGAAACGCCCAGAAAGGTACATGAATGGGAACAAAGCGTTCTCGTTCATGCCTCAAGGCCCATGTAGGAGCCGGTTCATGAGGTTAGGTCCTTTGCGTCCGGTTTGCTACTTGCAGGCTTGGGGCTTGGTAGGTACCTGGAAGTTGGTTTTCCTGAAGGTAGATAGTAGGTGCATACATACGCTGTCTACTCAAAGGTAGGCCCTCCTTACTACCCGGTGTGCGCTTGTATGCTGCACCCGAAAACTTGGATTCTTAAAAGGACCCAGTTCTGATTAGGTGCGCCTCTTCCTTGTGGTTGTCGTGGTCACCCGCCTTAACCAGTAACTTCTGCTGTCAGGCTTTTCATGGTTAGCCAATTGTCACTGGCTTACTGCTCTCAGGCCTAAAGTCCTTGTGGCACCTTCAGCTCTTGTTATAATGCTCTTGATCCTGCGTGGTGAGGACACTTGCGTGTCTTCACCACAAAGGTTCCGCTTCGCTGTGTACAGGCTGCTGGTAGTTCCGCGTGTACAGTTGCTGGAGCTGCCAAGGTTTGACGAGACAACGTCCCTGGGACAAAGCTTTCGCTGTCCACTGCCTCTAGTGACCTAGGGGGTCAAACTTGCTTTGCCAACGTTGGTGTGTCTTGGTGCTTCCGGTCCGGCCTGCCTGTTGCTCCCGGGTTGGTCGCCTCCATGCACGCGTTTCGTGCATGGCCCAGCTGCTCTTCCACCGCGTGTGCAGCAGCCCCACATACCTACCTCTGGGTGGGTGTGTGGGGCTTCCGCAGTGGTGCAGTCCCCACTTGCTTGCGGATGCGCGTAGGTAGCTGTTGATTTGTACAGTCTTCGTTAACGTTACACGGCCATTGGCCGCGGCAGTTGCTGACCGTTCGGAAAGAAAACTCAAGGCCTCCCAGGACCCCGGGAAGACCTGCATGTTTTTTTCATGTCTCCTTCAGATTTTCGATCAGCACGAGCATCCCAAGAGAGCACAGTTCAGGAGCTTATTCAGCAGTTGATAGACATGCGAGACCAATGTAGAGCACAGTGAAGATGATTGATGCTGGAGTCTCAGACACGGTCGCTTTCTTCTTTCGTGTCGGGAATGTGGGATCCCGCGCGCCGCCCTCAGGGTTTATACCATGTTTGAGCTGGCGGGTTGAGAACGGAACCAGCGTTTCATGTGTTCTTTCGTCGATGCCTGTCCACGCCATGTGATGGTTGGGGGGCGGGGTGGGGTTGGGGTTGGTGCGGGGCCTTAGTAGCGTTCATGGTTGCTTGCACATGGTGTGTATGCTACAGAGATGATGCAGCGCTGTCGACTTGCCACGGAGTGCATGGGGTGGGGTGGAGTTGGTGTGGGGCCTTAGAGCGTTCATGGTTGGTTGCACATGGTGTGGATGCTACGGAGATGATGCAACGCTGTCGACTTGCCACGGAGTGCATGGGGTGGGGTGGGGTTGGTGTGGGGCCTTAGTAGCGTTCATGGTTGGTTGCACATGCTGTGGATGCTACGGAGATGACGCCGCGCTGTCGACTTGCCACGGAGTGCGTGGGGTGAGGTGGGGTTGGTGTGGAGCCTTTGTAGCGTTCATGGTTGGTTGCGCATGCTGTGGATGCTACGGAGATGATGCAACACTGTCGATTTGCCACGGAGTGCATGGGGTGGGGTGGGGTTGGGGTGCCACACACTAGCGCATGAAAATAGCACACACCGCTTGGGTTTCGCAACATTTGACGTCAATTTAGAATCCCAAAATTTTGTGAAATCATACACATGCATGCAGTTTGAAAGTGCCGAAAACACTGTGTTTCGTGGGACGCCCAAGACAGTGACCCCAACTAACAATGAAAACGTGGGTTCGATTAACAACCCTGTGGGATGTTGGACCATTCAACTCATTGTAGGCAGCCATGGGTCATTGCCCACAAGCTGCGCTCTCCACAAAAATTGAAGCCAAGCTTACGGGGCCAAGTCTCACCATTCCTTCACGGAGTTCCGCGGTTACCCACACATACTTATACGGTCGTTAGATGAATTGACTACCAGGCCGAAAATTCAGGATGTTTCCATTAAACCAAACATGACTACTTCTCTGCCATGGGTGCATGCTGAGGACGCGTACTCATCGCCTTGGAGAAGAGGCTGGCACCTGAGACGCGGCGCAAATCAGGGCGTAGGGTGGCAGGGTAAGATCAGGAGAATGCACTTTCGAACGATTGGCCCCAAGGTGACCGTAGTCTGAGCCATGGCGTGTGAATGAGGGCCATTTCTTAAACAGACGAGTGGGTGCCGTCTCCTCTCAAGTGTTTGGAGAACATCTAGGTGACCGATTGAAACTCTTCAGGCAGATGGGCCCGGGTATCGTTTGTGCCTCTATGTTTCTCAGATGGAGGTTGCAAGCAACTCTCCAGCCAGGAAGCTGTTGTTCTTTTCCTTGGTGAAGATCCACTGCAGGGTTCATTAACAACACTGTCACATCTCTTTCCGTTTTGTTTGAGAGAACAGATGGAAAAAGACGGGATTACCGTGAAGCCCACAAACTCGTCGCGCAAGAATTCCAGGAGCTGGTGAATGTGAGATGCGAGGGCGAATCCAAGGGGGCTTGTGCCTCGAAATGCCCGAGAATCTTCTATTGTTATTAATATGAATAAGTTTCACGGCTATGGCTCAGAACACCGAAGGAATGGGGTTTTCGC